CATTTCTTCAAGGGTATAAATCTGTTCTCAGTTCAAAGGGCAAAGAAGAAATGTTGGTGAGTTAGAACCTCTATTTCCATTATATATATATATATATGTATGTATGCATAAACTTGATTACACTAGCATGCATCTGAGATTTACTTAATTTATTCAAATTATAAATATATAGGCAAATCTTGCCAGATGGGAACCGGGGCATGGGCGTTTCAGGCTTTTTTATCCGTGGAAGCAGCACTTGAAGATTGGAGACCTTGCTCGAGAATGTGCCTCGTTGATTGAAGCTATGAATCCCTACGTTGACTCTGATTTCCAAGTAGTTCTTCACAATCTTTAAAAAACCAAAGTCAACTCTCATATACACCGTTTCTATAAGTATTTTGAAAATGATACAGTGACTATATTTGTGTATAAAAAATACTTTATAACATGATATAGTATTTTTTTTTATTGACGTTGATAAAAAAACAGTTTTTAATGATTTTTTTTATCTGATAAATGACGTAAATTAATAAGTATTTTTTTTTTCATTCTTTTTGATACTAGACAAATTTTATTGATAAAATAACATAAATATAAGACCAATAGTACGATTGATTGACGGAATTTTTCTAAGTAAATTGCAAAAAACTGTAGAGTAAAGTCTTCCCCCTCTTCGCACGTGGTTGGATTTAAGCCACTTTGTTCTATCTTTGTTTTAGCAACTCTCACTATTCATTTTAAATAGAAGTTCTAATGATCTTATTAAAGAAAGCATGTGGAGTTAGATATAATAAATGAGCTTTTCAACTTATTACTTTTGGATTGTCAGTTGGATATCATTTATCAAATATTAGATTGACTAGTAACATAGCACATATATTAAGCTTTGTGAACCAAGATAGAGGCATATAATTAAAAGAGTGATTCTTAATTTTCATATAATAAAAAGTCATAAAAGTGATAAATTTCTTAAAAATTTATTACTTTGAATTCTAGTCTTCTAATTTATGTTTCATTCTACTTTCAGCAATCACCAGAATTTCAAAGCAAAATTCAAGAATCATGCAAAAAGATGAGTGCAGAAAGTAGCAAGGCATTAAGAGAACTAGCCACAGCAATCAAAACGATGACAGAGCCATCCTCTGCCAGTCCTTACTTGGAGAACTCCAAATCTGCCATGAACCACCTTAAAACTGCTCTCAAAGATTTCTCATTGGAGAGTACTGATCTCCTAGCAATCTTACAGGCTGCCACAGTCTTTTCAATCCTTGTTGAGATCATTAAATGCATGGAAAAAATTTCGAAAGCAGTTCATGAACTCTCCAAGCTAGCACGTTTCAAGAATGCAGAACCTACCGTGTCATGCAAGAAACTGCATCAGCTGTTCATAAACCCAAGTTTTGAAGGTGATGGTAAACTTAACATGGGAAACAAGACAATTCACTCCATAAATCTATTACCACGTCAGGAAAATAACAAGCCAATCACTAATTGACTGTGCCTCGCAGTGCGAATCAGTTGAGGAGGGAGCTGATTCCATTAACACCATCTTTCCACGCGTTCTGATAGAATTAATTAAAACTGTGACTTCTAATCATTTCTGTGATTAAATTAGGTTCTCTTTTTCTTTTGCTCTTTATCCAAACAAAGGTTCATTAGAAGTCTATGGTTATGCTTCCATATATTTTTAGTCGCCTTAACCAATATGTTCCAGGAAAGTTCACATTCTGTCACTTATTCAAATGCTTTACTTTTTAAAATGCTTGAATATATTGATGTCATTAAGCACGTTATTCATCTATCTTGTATTTGAGACGTGGTATCAATGTTTAGATAAACTTTCATAGGATAAAGGAATGCTTTTTATATTATTCACTACTAGAAAACAGAGTATATTCGACAGATAATACTGTCGATTATAAAAAGAATTCTATCAATTATAGATATAATTGATAGACATAATCGATAATCAAATTTATCAAATAAACAAGAGTAAAAAATAGTATAATCGACATCATTGTTCCAGAAATAAAAAAAATTTAGAATTAAAAAATGTAGAATTAAAATTTTAATTTTGTAGTTGTTAATTAAATTATAAAGTTATTAAACAAAATTCAATGATAGAATCAATCAAGTGCAACAACAATATATATATTAAATAATTTCGAGAATAATTGAAAAATAAGAATAATATTCAAATATTATGAGAATTAATGGAAAAATAAGATAAATGATAAGT